CAGTTGGTCACGATAGAACAACACAAGACCGTGCGGATTGCGTTAAAATATAACGTTATTTTATTTTACCGCCAGTTGTTGAAAACAAATGCGACTTTGCGGGGTCACATTTATTCATTGACACAAAGTCGATATTCGCCAAAGGATTCTCGCTCGCCAAAAGCGAGAATCGTATTTTCTTCGCAAAATTAATTCAAGATGGCAGCTAACGTACGATGGTTGTTATGTCGGTCGGTCTGTATGCGCGGGGTTGTGAAATGTTTGTGCATTATTATAGTTGCAAGTGCGCAAACATATCCAGCGTTGGACTTGAGTGTACACAGTAGCGACGTCACGCGTAGCGACGACCGAAGCGAGGCGTCGAAATTAAACGCAATTATCCTTCGGACGCCATGTAATACATTCACGTTGTATTGCGCGCGCAATATATCACAGAGATCCTTTTTTTTTTTTTTATACCTTTGATTAATAAATTTGATTTCCCATTTTCGATGAAAATGTTAATTAATATATCATTATTATGAATAAATAATTAGTCTTAAAGATTCGTTCGCAGGACGTTGTGCGGAAAATATCCCCTAACAGGAAAGGCGACGGCCCGGAGATTCCAGGTTCGACTCCTGGCTGAGGAATTTTTTTCGCAATATTTTAAATCAATTAGGGGGGGGAGGGTATTCGGGGTCTATCATATATGAGATGCAAAACTAGAATCCTATATGAATTTGAAGAATTGAAATTTCAATTCGAAAAAAACACGTGAAAAACGTGAATTTACTTACACCGAAAAAATTATATTCTTATAAGTAGAAGATTTTATACTTAAAAAATCTTCTTAAAGATTTTATATGATATTCTTCTGAAATTAAGAATATATTTTTTATTTAAGAATATATTCTTAATTTAAGAATATAGTCTTTTTCGATAGTGAGATATATATGTTTTTCTATAGAGGCTTTTTATATTCTAATCAGTATATATTCTTATCAATATTACTATTTAGAGGATTTTCCTCTTAAAATAAGAAACTCTCCTTGGCGTCTATTTTAGTATAATACTTAAAGTAAGTGGGATATTCTCAAAACAAGAATACCATTTTTTCTGTGTATATATGTGTACACACATATGAGACATATTTTCCGCACAACGTCCTGCGAACGGCTCTTTAAGACTTTAATTATTTATTCATTTATTAAGTTTAATAAACTTCATGAGCCTGAAAAGATCCTCAATTTAATATTGATTGTTAATATTATTATTATATCTCAGTATCTGCGACTTGCGCTTAACGCACGAGCGACTTTGTTGAGCAAGAACCCTAGAACAGATCGGGAAAAATCCAAATCGGAAACGTTATCACATTGGAGGAAGAGACGATCTCCTCGAGATCGTTTCATCGAGAGATTTTATATATCTCATTGAAAATCATCTCACGAAAAACGTGTTTCGAGAAAGAGACAAGGTGGTTCTCTCCAATGATTTAATCTCGACGAGAACATTTCATCTTGAGGAATACCGTAATGAGAGCAATAATGAGAATAGTCCATGTACGTCATGAGGTTGCAAAGCGCCGGACTATCCGCGGTCGACGTTGTGGCGGGTGGCGAAACTATGAGGTGATGATCGAGCCACAGTTGGTTGCGGGCCGCCGCTCCGAGAGCAGCGAGCGCGTTTTCGCGTTTTTTTTTTTTTACGCGACTTGTGTGATTTGCGTGATCGAAAAAACGTGAAAAAAAAAAAAACCGCGTGAGCGCTGAGACTTATGCGAGAGATCGATCGTGTGATTATCGTGTGGGATCGAATGGGAGCAACGCGACCGTTACCTCGCATTACGTGGACACGCGATTCCGATAGATTGTATATGCGTCACGTTGATGTAGCCTATCTCATCGCGCTATCTCTCTCTCTTTCTCTCTTCTCTTCAAACCATAGCTTCTGAACGTCTTCTGCAAGCGGTGCACCTAGCGATCAAACTGATTTTTGTTGTTGTATTTTTGCGCGCGTTGCTGCGGCGGCGGCGTGTCGCCGAGAGAATCTCTCTCGAGAAATGAAGTGCGAATGGAAACGCGGACATATGCTATCGTAATAACTGCTTGCTCTTAAATGAGACTGGGATTGAAAATCGCGCGCCTATCCCGCTATGTTTAAATAGCGCAAGTTGATTCATTATCACGGCGATTTCGGAGATTCCGAGCGGCTCGCGAAAACGTTCATCGACGAGAGAGAGAGAGAGAGAGAGAGAGAGAGAGAGAGAGAGAGAGAGAGAGAAATAGGATCTCTCGCGTGACTGACCTAATTTTTCGCGATAGTGGAACAGAGATAGATTCTGACGGACTTCGCTTGTGTGAAAATTTCGCGCAACCGTCGATTATATAACAATCGACGGTTTTTACAAGAGCGACGAGTTTAACAAAAACTCGTTAGCGGTCGCGTTCCAGACATAACAAACCGTGATGAAACTAAACGGCTATTCTCAAAGAGCGAGGATTACCATATCGCGAGCGAGCGTACGTACGTAAAAAATAAAAGAGCATCGAAGAGAAGAACGCGCGAAGCCTGCACGTGGAACAAATCTTTTTGAAAAAAGCTGCGCCGAAAAACAAAAAAAAAAAAAACAAAATTACATCACCTTTCTAACTATCGATAAATATTGCTCGTTCGTACGTATGCGAGTGCGCATCACACGTGTGTGTGTGTGTGTGTGTGTGGTTGTGCGCGCAAAATAAAAACTTCCAAGCGAACAACGAAAATAAGTCGCACACAATTAACCCAGTTTCTTTTTTAAACACGCGCGAGTGTTTAAACATGAATTGACAAGAAACGACGAACGGGGGGGCGCGCATCGGGGAAACATCTCGTTGTGCGGTTTAACGGTAGCGGACACGCGCGTAAGTGTTGCATTTCCAGCGACGAGGAAGAGGTGGATGCGCGAACTAAACGCGCGGCGATCAATCTCGTCTCGCCGAGCGACGACGTTGCGAAAGGTCAGGAGAGAGACAGTCCGGCTTCGCGGTTACACGCTGACGGACGGATAATGTTTTCCGGGTGTGCGATTCGACAAATGTCGAGGTTCATCGTTTAGATCTCTCGAGTGATCCCCCAACGTGTGTAAAACGTTCGCGCGATATATATAGTGTCACACACGTGAGAGAGCGAAACGCGTTAAGTTCGCGTTGTTCAAGTTGTTTCGGATCCGCAATCTTGTTGCTTTTCTTCCGTTGTACCAACTCTCGTCTCTTTAAAAAAAAAAAAAACCATCAAGAAGACATTGTTTAAGTTAAACATCGCTGATACCGTTTCCGCGGCGACGTTTCAAGACGACGATTAAAGCGGCCGCGGCGTGCGCGAAACTCGCGCGCGCCCGCGCGCGCGCACACACACACACACACACACACACGTCTCACAATCCTCTGAATGTGATTTCACGTTAACAAAAGCAACAACGGAGCAATAATAAAAGTGCATTATATAAAGAAAACAGCGTGTGTTATTCCCTGTCGTAACAGCTGCGAAACACACATTTTCTAAGTTAAGTCTCTCGTCGGAAAGAAGAATCGACGAAAAAAACGATAATCTCCTTCACGCATTTGGACGATCGTCTCGCGCGAGACGATACTCACCGGATTCTAAAGCAACCAGTCGTCGAGAGACGACTTCTCTCTTTTGTCTTCTCGCGAAGAGAAAAATCAAGACCGAGGTACTTAAGGCAAATAAGTAATTAAGCTGAAAAAAAAAAAGATAACGCACAAACGTGTACGCAAATATAATACACCACTTTCCGAGTGGTAATCGTGTCAGTAGAGAGAGAGAGAGAGTTTGGGGTTTTTCGTGCTCGCGCGCGAACTCCTTCGGCACGTGGAAGAGACAAAATTCGGTTGATGTGGTTCGTGTGTGCGAATAATAATTCTGACAGAAAGAAAAAGAGAGACGTTAGATTGTCTCGTCGCGCGGGATACGCACCATTGTCCGGAACATTCTGAAGAAGAAGAAACGAAAGACAAAGCCTCTTTGGCCTCGCGACGCGCGAGGTGAGATTGAAAAAGTAGTCGACTACGTCCGCTTCGCGGAAAAAGTAATAGATAAAAAAAAGGAGAGAGGGAAAGAAAGAGAGAGAAAAAAAATCCGGGCAATTGAGTGAGATAAAAAAACGACGGAAACGAAGCGAGAATTTCATCGGGGAACGCCGCGCGCGTCGCTCGGGAAAACAGCAATGCGCCTAATACATCTCGCGACACCGCTTAATGAGCTATTATCCGCGCGAGGAGAGAGAAAGACACCTCCCGACAGGAAGAAGACTCGAGGGAGTCTTCGCAGCTTCAAAATTCCATTACCATATTAAGGTCCGGAGAGATAAAATAGCTTCCAAATAAAACAGGATTTCCGCAGAATAAAATTGATCGCTCGACCCCAACGGTCTGCTCCGCCATCCATCTTTCAGAAAACCGGAGCGAGGAGGAGGATATTTCGGATTCTCTATCTCCTTTTTCTCCTACGTGTATCCGTTTGTACCTTTTCCTTACTTTTTCACCGACGTCGTCTCTTTTCTACTCTCTTTCTCTCTCTCTGTCTCTCTCTTATTTCCCGCACAGCGCGCACTCTTACGTTCATCCGAGTCTGAGAAGTTTCGGTTGGGGGTCGCGCCATATCGGACATTATGCATGACCCGACCGTCGTTCATCTACTCTCCTCCCCGTTCTCTCGGAGGCAACAGTTTTGCGGGCGGACGCGAGCGTTTTTATCACGACGATCGATTTGTCCCGTAAGATCAAACGACCTAGAGAAGGGAAGCGCGGCGATTCGCGGTGCTTCCGCGCCGGATGAAGAAAAATGCGCTCGTCGGATCGTTAATTGTCGATTAGGAAGAATCAACGATCGCGCGTGGAAAACGCGATAGACGACGCTCGCTGATCGCTCGGAAAATCCGAGTGTCTCTCAAAATAAGGAAAAATTTGTTCTCTCTCATCAGACAAGCTTCCGAGATAATAATAATGTATAACGCGAAAGTCGCATATGTCGGGCTTAGATGTGAACGACGGTTTCGACGGCAACGACGACGGTCGGTTCGGATGATCTTCTCGTCGACAATATCTCGACGCCGGTGAGAGAGCAAAATCTTTGACGAGAGAAAAGCCAAGCGGAGGCTATAATCTTCTTCCTTCCTTCTTGTAATCTCTTCTTTTCTAGTTTTTTTTTTTCCTCTTTCCGTTCTTTCTTTACTCCCGCAAAGAACATCTCGACTACGTATAATCACACGGGATCGGGAGAAACAAAGTAATAACGTCATTGTCACAGGGCAAATCCTGACGATCCGGCAGTGTGATCAAAGATCAAAATACTTTAACGATCGAATTAAGCGTTGCGTTGCGCTTGTTCATCATCATTTCTACCTACCTCGAATAATATCGCGCGTGTATATCTGTCGTGAAACAAATCGTGTGTGAAAATCGGAAAACTTTTCGACAAAAAATCAAAATAGAAGACCATGGACATATCGTGCGATCGTACGATCGTCCGGCAAATCAAGAGCCGCTACTCGATCGCAAACAGAAAGATAAAGCCGGAATGCTGCACGCTGTTATGTTAGGTAGCGGTCCAGGACGGGGGAGACGCGAGCGTTATCCAGGATTTTATCTTCAACGTCGTCGTCTCGGCTACAGAATGAATCGCATCGAGCAAGAGACTCTCTTTCGGCAGAGTCGGCGGATCACCCAGATCGTACCCGCTGTACGAGAAGACCTCGTTCTGAGCGTCCTCAAGTCGCCGATCAACCAACAGCAGCACGAACCACAACACGACCAACGACCGCAGTATCGACAGAGCCACTTTAACTGCCAAGGTCATCCGAATGATAAGAAGTGCAATAATTCAGGTATATAAAGAGTATATTGAGGATCGTTTTTTCTTCTTTCCTTCGCCACGTGGTTTCGCGTATTTCCGTTATATTGTTTTTATCGCGAGTTGCCCACCCACGAACGAGGTGTGAATTTTGCAAATGTGTGAGCATGACTCGCGCGATCTTCCTGATATCGGGAAGAAAGAACGTACACCTCGGATTTGTTTCGGGATTGTGTTGCATTCATGTTTTACACAACGTGAGATATTTGCCAGTCTAACTGGTTAGGTTCATTCAAATTCACGCGATTTGCGGACAATTAAATCCTTCTGCGTTTATGTATTTCACTTATAGTTCTGTAACAGAAGAGAGAATGTAGAAATGATTAAATTCAATTGTATTCGAACGTTTTTTTAATTGACATTGTCGAAACTGAAACATAAAGCGTGACGTTAAAAAAAAAAAAAAAATGCATAATGTAGTCATTATTTAAAAGTTTTTAATTAGGACATTGTGAAAAAGTTTTTTAAACGCTTTCTTAGAAGTTTGCTCGTTTAAAGCAAAAACGAACACACAATTTAAATGATCCTATGCATTCATAAATTTTCTAGTGTAATATTTTGTTGCAATTATCGCACACAGTTTTTTGAAGTATATATATGTATTCTACTTTTCTATTTGTATTTTTCTTTCCAAAACTTTTCGCCAAAGAAAACTGCATTTCGCAGCATTAATTTTAGTTTGAAATTAACACAAGCGTTGCGCGTAGCAACGTGAACGTGAGCTGACGTATGTATTTTTAACGCGGTCTTTTGTAGAATCGCGAAAGGAGGAGCGCGCAAGAGAGGAAGAGAGAGTTTTTTGCGCGATGTCACGAGTAAAGCCAGGTCCGAACTTGCAACATTTTTTGACTGCAACCACGGTGTGAGATAGTAAAAGGTGGTCCGACTCTATTCCCACTCCTGTGATATTAAGTAGGAACTTCAAATATATCGTCCGATAGGTGTTTTAGTGAAAAACACGCGTACTATCGGTGAGATTATATGTATGTAGTAGTACTCACTATTCACACACTGTGGTGATATGTATTACTACTACGTGTGTAAGGATGCGTTCCGTTTCATGTATATATGTGAATGATCTGTAGTATACGTAATGTATATACACCGAAAAAATTGTATTCTTGTTTTGAGGATATATATCCCATTTACTTTAAGTATATTTTATACTAAAATAGACGCCAAAAAGAGTTTCTTATTTTAAGAGGAAAATTCTCTAAATAGTAATAAGAATATACACTTATTAGAATATAAAAAGCCTCTGTAGAAAAATATATATATCTCATTATCGAAAAAGACTATATTCTTAAATTAAAAATATATTCTTAAATAAAGAATATATTCTTAATTTCAGAAGAATATCATCTAAAATCTTTAAGAAGATTTTTTAAGTATAAAATCTTCTACTTATAAGAATATAATTTTTTCGGTGTGTAAACTCTTCGTGTTGCTAAAAAATTACACATTATTATATTAACATCTAATTTATATTTTAATTATCTCATCGACTTCCGGTGATAATCGCAGAGAACTTTGATCGGATTAGCTCGCAACATTAAACATTGCACCCATTATCGTCTCAACATTCGTGCGTACACCGAAAAAATTGTATTCTTGTTTTGAGGATACACTTACTTTAAGTATATTTTATACTAAAATAGGCGCCAAGAAGAGTTTCTTATTTTAAGAGGAAAATCCTCTAAATAGTAATATTGATAAGAATATATACTGATTAGAATATAAAAAGCCTCTGTAGAAAAACATATATATCTCACTATCGAAAAAGACTATATTCTTAAATAAAGAATATATTCTTAATTTTAGAAGAATATCATCTAAAATCTTTAAGGAGATTTTTTAAGTATAAAATCTTCTACTTACAAGAATATAATTTTTTCGGTGTATAGATAAATGCGCGCATATACATGAAACGGAACGCAGTTAAGATGATTACTACATATCTAAATAGATATCACAATCAATGTTGTCAAAAAAAACATGAAAAAATCATTTTGCAGACGTTTAGAATAAAAACACATCAATAATTGTTAAAAGTAAAATATATTTATTTAATAATTAATTTTATGTATTATACTATTGTTACAAAGTTATACTATTTTTACAGTTTTTTTTATGTATTATACAATTTTGCCTCCTTCTTTTTTCCATACTAATTTGTTTATCTTTTCTATTTTTAATCTTTGCATATTGACGCGCGTTCTAACCGTAATATAATAATGTATAAGAAGAAACTCATACGCCAGTTATGTCTCGTGTCTATTTTTTAAACTGTTTTGCAAATGTAAATTAGTGTAAGGCATCAAAAATATCGTCTATGAACTTCTTCATAAACTTTCGTGTTCGGTTGCGGTTACAACGCGATTATACACGTGGAGAACGCGTAACAAAACAAGTAACAAGTATAGCTACGTACAGAGGAGTGCATCATATCGTTCCGCTCCAGGAGAAGTATTTCTCGGAAATTTCTCCTCCGACTGTCCCTACTACCGCGCGCCATTTTTCTTCAATCTCGAGCCGCTGGCGGAGATCGAAAAAATACGGCGCGCGGTATAGTAGAAGCAACCAGAAGAGAAATTTCAGAGAAAACCTTCCCTTAGAGCGGAACGATACGGTGCACTCCTCTGTGTACGTCTTACCGCGGTACGCGTGTCTCATTAGCATCTCTATCGGAAGATCGTCGAAGTTCCTACTTACGTCACAGCAATTTTATGAGTGGGGGTATACAAGTCGGACCACCTTACTATCTTACATCGTGACTGCAACATCCTCGTAAAACAAGATCAAATCGGAGTTGCGTTGCGCGATGACATGACGTTCGGGTGACAATTTTTGTTCTCGAATCGCGTCAACATTCGTCCAATCTTATCTGCGACGTTGTTGCAGTTACGACGTTCTTTTGCAAGTGTGTACCCGGCTTAACACCCGTATTATACACAACATTTCGCGCGTTGACGAACGAATGTCAGACACATACATCCTTGCTGACCGGAAGCGAGGATTCACACGGTTTAAATAAAGAGGCGGATTTGCGCGTAGCCTGACCTCCCTCCTCTCTTGCTCGACCAGAGAGATAAAAAAAAAAAAAATATCTCGTCGCTCGATGCTTGAGGCTCGGTTTGCATCGCGGTAAAATGTATTCACAACAAAGTTTTATAATGTGTAATCCTTCCTGAAAAAGAAAAAAACAAGAGAGAGAGAGAGAAAGAGAGAGAGAGAATGCGTGTATGTGAGTGAAAAAGAGATACTTTTATAAATAGAACCGCACGCGGTGAACAATACGTTCGCGTTAATGCACAAGCGCGCAAATCGGATTTGTAGTTTCCATTGTCTCACCTTTTCGATAATACCATTCGCGTCCTGTCACGTACGCGACGCAAAATTGTTACAAAGACCGCGACATTGCCGGTATTTGCATTAAGATCTTTCCACGCGATCATTAGTTTTTCGCAATACGCTAAAATTTTTTCCCGGGGGTTTGGAGACAAATAACGTACTTTCAAACGCGCCGAATCTTTCTGTATCTCGTTTACCTGATTGTTTTTAATCGCTCGACGTGTTGCTCGCGAGTAAAATTGTCGAATTAACGAATTTTTTTAAAATCAAATTAGTTTACTTTTGAAGGCAACGTAGAAAGATATGCGCCGCCCTGTTGACCTTTGAAAACTAATGACATCCAGTCTTCAATATTATAGCGTTAGCGTTAGTTAATATGAATGAACGCGCGGAACACACGAAAGAAAACATCTGCGCGACATTACTGTTTCTTTATTCCTTATATTATTAATCGCATTCGATGCTTTCAAATATTAAGTAAATCTCTTGTTGCATTTTTCGTGCAGGACAGAAGGACACGGTCAATGATTGATTTCGGTTTTACGATTTTTGCATTTATCCTTTTGGGGCTTGAAAGAATTTCAATTAGTTATTTGGTTTGAAACGTACTTTATGCGCTTTTTTTCAGCCGTGAAAATGCTTGACACTTTTTTTCCGCAACGAAAAAGACGCAAGTAAGTAAAAGGTCGTTTCAATCACACAAATTGACTGTAAAATTAAAAAATTAAAGTTGTTTCAGAGAAATATCTGCAATTTGTTAAAAAAAAACACCACTTTTAAAAATTGATTTTTATTTTTACGTAACGTTTTTATTCCGAAGAGTATTTAATAACAGCTGTTGGTATCGATTTCATTTATATATATAAAAACGGACTTCTTGATCGCAGACCGCGCGCGCGTATTATGCGCCGCGATATTGTTCCGCGGCCTCTAATAGTTAGAATTGCAAATTGCCTCGCTCCAACCGTTAAATATTTGAATAATAATCTCTGCTGTGAATGACTGTCTATCTATCTATCTATTTTATCGTCAACAACTCACCCGAGATTCATCGATTGAGAGTCTTGTTTCATTGGCGATTATTTGACAAAAAAAAAACAAAAAAAAAAAATGTAAAATCGTGAAGCCGAATTCTCTTTGTAACAACATGTTTGCAACACTCACGATGTACATAATAATGTGTTTACCACACCAACGTTGATTATAACGTTTAAATACTCAATCAATTTGCTGCAATAATTAAACTTTGACGTCGCTAGATGAGAATATTCGAGCGAGGATCACAATGGCCAAGAGAAAAAATGTTAAATTTTATTAATTTATTATTAGAAAACGAGCTATCCGTTGCGTTAATTCTAACTCGAGCCTTGAGGATTGAGCGCGAGGTCAGAACGCGTCGAGTCGAGCAACGACGAATGATTCGCAACTCTTGCCCGAGCCTGGTCCAAATGTCAATCCCGGAAATGCCCAGGTAACACGTACAACAACGAGAGTCTTCCAGGAAGCAAGGAACCGGCGTCTTGCCAGCCGGCGAAAAAGCGTTACATCACCGACGCCGCTTACGCGTCGCTCCAAGGCAGCGAGGACGAGCTCGTTGCCGGGCAGAGTTTGGAGACGGAAGACACCGCGTTAAAGACACCCGGCAGCGAGACCGAGGACACGGAAGACTACGGTGCAAACGCGGACGAGACTTTGTCGCCCTCGCGCCGATTCACCTTCCTGCGCCGTTTCCGGTCGCCGCGCTTCGGCGAGGCGCATCACAAACGTGTGCCGACACCGATGAAGCGGAAGTATCGACGGAAACGAAGCAGGACCATGATGACAGACGAGGACATGGTTACCTGCGACGAGGAGGAAGATTTGGCCAGCCCCAATACATCCGGCCTGACCGAACCTTCCTTCGTTTGTTTACCGAGGGATCAGAACTTCTTGGCGAAATACACGTTGCCGCCTCAAAGGTGCAGAACTTGGCAGGAGCGAATTTACGTGTTCCTCGAACACCCAGGCACCACTTTGTGCATTATCTACCATTTAGTTGTGTGAGTATTTTTCGCTTGCGCGTTTTCTCTTTCGCCAAGAAACGACACGACGACGTCGTTCTTTCTTGGCTTTGAATTATATTTTCTTTGTATTGCGATTTTTAACGAACGGGAAAACGGCGCGCGTTCGCGCGCCGTCTCTTTGCTTTGTCTACAAATTCTGAGACTTCTGAAATTCTGTTTCTCGTAACTTGTGTGTGCGTGTATGTGTGTGTGTGTGTTTGTTTGTTTGTAATAATTGGTTTGGTCATCAATTGAAAGGCACAAATACAAAACGCCGAGCTACAGACGCTCCTTTCGTTTCCGTTTCATACAGCGAACATTGATTCGGTCTTGTCACAGCCTTTGACACCTGATCAGATCTTTTATATTGCCGTGAACTCTACTGCAATTGAAACGCTCGCTCAAAATCAATCCGCGTCTCGCCTTTTCACGCGATTCTCGACCGGAACAGATACGTATATTTCGCATAGAATTTTATTGCTCACTATTGGTCTGATTCGATAAACGATAACGGACGTCGAATGCTCGGGAATGTATCACGGGAAGTGTCGATATATCGAGAGAATTCGGGTGTAGTCCTCGTGCCTGCAAGCTGTGGAAAGATACGCTTTCTTACGCTTTTACGTGGTCTACACTGAAAAAATTGTATTCTTGTTTTGAGGATATCCCACTTTAAGTATATTTTATACTAAAATAGGCGCCACGAAGAGTTTCTTATTTTAAGAGGAAAATCCTCTAAATAGTAATATTGATAAGAATATATACTGATTAGAATATAAAAAGCCTCTATATAGAAAAACATATATATCTCACTATCGAAAAAGACTATATTCTTAAATTAAGAATATCATCTAAAATCTTTAAGAAGATTTTTTAAGTATAAAATCTTTTACTTATAAGAATATAATTTTTTTGGTGTGTAAACTCCTCGTATTGCTAAAAAATTACACATTATTATATTGACATCTAATTTATATTTTAATTATCTCATCGACTTCCGGTGATAATCGCAGAGAACTTTGATCTGATTAGCTCGCAACATTAAACATCGCACCCATTATCGTCTCAACATTTGTGCGTACACTGAAAAAATTGTATTCTTGTTTTGAGGATATCCCACTTTAAGTATATTTTATATTAAAATAGGCGCCAAAAAAAGTTTCTTATTTTAAGAGGAAAATCCTCTAAATAGTAATATTGATAAGAATATATACTGATTAGAATATAAAAAGCCTCTATAGAAAAACATATATATCTCACTATCGAAAAAGACTATATTCTTAAATTAAGAATATAGTCTTAAATAAAGAATATATTCTTAATTTCGGAAGAATATCATCTAAAATTTTTAAGAAGATTTTTTTAAATCTTCTACTTACAAGAATATAATTTTTTCGGTGTACGTGGTCGTCACGCGCGAGAAAGCGCATCGCTAAGTTTAACGTACGTTAGTTTTAATATATAAATTTCCGCGCACGGAGGATATTTGTGTCTCATTAAAAATAAAGATGACATATTGATGTTTACATTTACATACTTTGTGTGAAACGTGCGATGCAAATATTCTGTTTTACACATCGAATGATTTATTTTCAAGAGAAAATTATATTAGAATATTGATAAGAGAAAGAGAGAATTGAGAGAGAGAGAGAGAAAGAAGAGAAAGCGCATTATGCGCACATCTATATTGGAAGACTAGAAGTAAATTAGCTGGCGAGAGACATTTACCGCTTTAATGAGCAACATCTATCGGAAAACTTCGAGAAATTCCTGCATTATTCATAACGGGTTGGGTATTTATTTCTTTCTACTGCCGTTCAAGCGCAACTCTGTGATCTTTTTCTCTTTTAAATAATACATCGTAAATAAAACAACGTGGCAGAAAAAAATTCACGAAATATAAATACGCGCGCAAAAACGCGATATAGAATATCCTATGAATATACATCTCTTTATCTCTTCCGGATGTGTGTTTTTTCTTTCGCTTATTTATAAATGTCAATATTGAATTAATATATTTAATTTGAAAATATTATACTCGAGAACGATAGCCGATGTGCGCGCGCGCACACAAAAACGCATCACACGCAATCGATATTACGTACGTCTCGCATTTTGTCGTATCGCGCGAAAAATTCTCTTTTGATAATATAAGTCGCTCTATTGAACTTTTCGACCGACGTGAAAGTCGAAACGTTACGGTCGGAAATTATCACGGAAGTGTCTTTCATTTTGCGCCCGATGGGGTACTGTCGTCGTGTCGAACACGCCATTCATTTCCGGAAACATATATCTATTTTTCCTGCATATAGATCTTGCATATTCGCATAATCTTTTTTAGAATTTGCACTTCTCCGTCCCTGTTGTTTAATTTTTCTGCGTGCGTCAGGGCCTGTAAAATGTCAGGCACCGAAAAATCAAAGGTTTTTAAGATTTCACCAACTATATATATGCGTTTGACAGGTCTTTCTCGCAGTCGTTGTTGCATGATTCTGACTTATTGACGTAGTCTTTGTGCAATTTTAATATGTTGCGCGTTTATATATATATAACCTACTTAATCGTTAAACGATCGACTAATGAAGTCGCTTTGCACGAAACGGCGACGTTAATATTTATTTGTTCGGTATTGATCAGCACTATGTATAATGCTTATTATCTATTTCCGTGCTATAATATAATATAATATCGTGATTAAAATGAGCGGGTGAAATTGAGAAGATCGAGAGTAAATCTGAATCTCGCCCGGAGAAACTCGTTTGCATCAGTTTGCATTTCGGGGGTAAAGATTAAAAATATAATTCGGGGTCTTAAACTTTGTTAAAATTTTTTTATTTTTTATTTTCATCGACTAAAGTTAAGAGATGAAATTGAATTTCTAGAAATTTGTGTTCGAGCAAAAGTTAAACAGAGACTCGGAATTACATAACTCACACGTTTACTCTCACATGTCTGGCGCGTTCAATTAATTAGTGAATATTATATAATCGATTAGCAGCAAACTTTAGTAATGACCTTCCCACAATGTGATGTGTAATCTCTCTTTATGGGGGTCATTATGCGCGCGCGCGATACATATCGATATATATATATATCAGCGCGCACGATTTTCATCTAAAAATAACAGACTGCACGCAAATAGCTTACATATGCATCGGGCTTAATAACACGGTGCTATTTACGCCCGCGCGAAAGTAGGCCGGTCAAATTGTAAGTAACCTCCTGTTAGAAACAAAAACTTTTTTCACAGTTTAACGTTATCGAGATTCATCGTTTGGAAAACAATATGCGCCGTCACTTTTAAAAAAGCTACAAAGATAGAAACAATAATCCGTCGAAAACCAAAAAAAAAAAAAAAAAAGCACGAAACAAAAAAACAACGTTTGACAGATCCGCTCGTCGGGTTTTACCCGACAATTTGCCAAGTCAAGTAATATCAGCAGATTCTACACTGGCGGAACACGCAGCGCCTGTGATATACGAGTGACTCCGGCATTGTTTGCGGTTGCGCGAATTTTCTGCCAATTTGCGCGGCATATTTCTTTCATTTCGCGCATCGTCGCCGGGTACACGTACCGTTTTTTTTCTCCTCGAAGCGGATTGAAACAGAAGCGGAAACTTTTTATTTCGAGCATCGCGCGAATCCGTTTGTAATTAAGTCACGATGAGAGTGGGAATATAAACGATACGACATGATATGACGTTATTGCCATAGGAACCGCACACGCATGTGTACTATTTTTCCCCTCCCCCCCCCCCGATATCGCATGTAGGTTAATTGATATGCGGGAAAACGTACAACCGGTCGTACAGATCCGCACAATCGGTTTGAATATCTTTAGCAACAACATATTGTTGTGAATGAATACGTGATGTCATTGATTAGATACTGTTGCGCCTTCGATCGTACTCGATATGCCTCGTCGATACAAATCTCGGCTTCTGTTTTTCTAAAAAAAACAAAAAAAATTACAAGAATTTCCAAGAATCTATAAAAAAAAAAAACATATATCTCTCCACCGAATCTCTCGTTAACAAGCGAATTTAAACTGTAAAACAAATAATAAGCAAACAGAAACATTATAGGTATCTCAATCCGCGATGCGCTTCGTTACTTTTGTGTTTCGCTCGGCGCGGCTTTCTATTTCTTTCTCGCTGCTGCACCGTGCTTTGGCATTTCCACATCCGCACACAAAAAGCGTGATATTCGCGAGTGACGGGGAACGTCTGTCTAACGCTCGGAAGATGGATGAGTTCCGAGCGATGCTCGGGGAAAAAAGAGGAGGAATATGTTAGACAATTATCATACTAGGTCGATGAAGGTGACCCGTGCAAGCCACGGAGTGCCGTACGTACACGTCGGAATTATAGGCCCTCGACACGCCATCTTAAAGAGCGCTACACGACACGCGCCTGAAAACCGCCCCGACTTCGTTAACACCCGTTCTGTGCTTGGTTGCTTTAACGAGGCGACACGCTCAATAATAAATTACTTATACAAACAGGGAAAACGCCGTTAGATCGATTTGCCACATCGATCAGCAATTACCGGTTCGGTTGGGCGGCGATGCGTATTAACTCCTTTACAGGGTGAGGTTTGCTTTGTCGCGTCGTCACGTCATGTTTTTCTATCCCGCGCCGTGTCAGTTGATACAATACGCGCGGGCGCGCGCGCGCGAGTTAAGATTCACACAACGAGGAAGAAGCCGACGATGATAACGCGACTCTTCTAGAGAAATTGGCCGAGTCCCAGAAAGAATGGGAAGCGAATTTCCATGCACGAAGCAGTGGCGTGCACAGGTGAATCTCGATACCGTTGGGCGCTTCTCACGAACACTCGCGCGCGCTTTACTGATAATGTAAAACTGCGCGAGTGTTTGAATCCGATATCGTGCGCGACCTCGAATCTCATTGCGCGATGATTATGTATCTCGATTTTTAACGCGTGAAGAATCGCACGGAATTATAACAACACGTGTTCGCGTGTTTGTTTGTTCAGCGAAAAAAAAAAAAAACGCACGTCGCGTTGTCGCGGAAAGTCAGAATTAATCGCGCACGCTTATTTAAAAAAAAAAAAACGTGCATTCCGTCTTTTTTTAAAATGCAAATATTTAAGGAAAAATTCGTAAAAATAAAAATCTACACGAGAAAAAATAAATTAAAAATAAATTAAACGGCAATTTCGTTTGTTAATTAGATAATTTGACGAGTGCAATTTTTCTTAATTCCGAGCACTGTTTGTTTTATATCGTATCCGCAATCTTGATCGATAGACTGTACAACAAGCGGATATACAAACACACATATATATACATATATATACATATATATATATATTGATAATATTCTTCTTGTGACTTTAAAGAGTTACACTTTGACGATAATCACAATATTCATACGCACATAGGCGTGTTATACTCGTAGTTTGTCAAAGTAATTTGTCAGTTTCGCTAGACTTGGGTGACATGGTAGTCTAACAAATAGTTTGTCTTAATGGAAAATTCAGGTAAGCTCAGTTTTCTTCCGAGCATGACAAGCGGGGTCAAACTTTTAGATGACGCGCACAAGTTGGAAACAATGTACGAGTCATGAATGTAATGGTGTACTAATTTATGTGTTTGCATTTTATTTAATTAATTACGTATTTCATTTGTTGTGCATAATGCTTGGTCTCTCTCGCACGTTATATATTAGAGTTTCTCAGAAAGAGAAGGAGAGATAATTAGTTTTATCCAAGATAAAAAACAATATTGCGATCATTAAAAAGCGCGTCGCAGTGTTTAAAAGGTTGTTATATTGTTTTTTTTTTTTTTAGTAGTACGGAAGTAATTAAAACTTGGAGAGAAAAATAATTCTGACGAGCAACATTGACATTTGTGCTGCTAATGAATAAACGAATATGTGTATGCGTATGTGCGTGGGTATGTATGAACTCTCTTTTTTTTTTAGGTTCGTGGTGGTGGTGGTGTGCTTGGTATTTAGCGTCTTATCAACGGTAGAAACATACAGTGAGTTCGCAAACTCGACTCTTTTTTGGATGGTAAGTGTTCGTGTTATTAAACCTCTCGTTCAAGTGTTATTTATATATACATATGTGTATACATGTATGTTTGTTTGTTTTTGCATGTGTCAAAATACTGAAAGCACTGAGAGATCGTGCAATGTCAACAGGAGTGTTAACTATTATTCAAAAAAACGATACTATTGAGAAAAATTGTTTTTTTTTTTTTTTCAAAAAAACACTAAATTTATTTATGCATTTGAAAGAATAGACTTGATTTTTAATTAAATTGTTTATTGCTTTTTCTCTGCCTTTTTCTGCCTTCTTACATTACTTTAAAGGCAAATAAAGTTAATTCTTTCTCCTCCGTGACTCGATGTTCCAACATTGTACAGATTTACGATCACACAGTAGTTTTATGACGCGTCGTTTTCGTTTCTTTGCGAAAAAAATAAAAATAAACTCATGTAAAACGCGAAGCTCATCAGTGGACGGTTCAGGGATCATAAAAAAAAGCGCGGCTGATTTTCAAGATTGACTCTGACTTCACGATGCGGCAGTAATGTCGATGTCCTCGTTTTTCTAGGACATCCCGTTGATACACCCTTGCTTGTACAATCGATACAATAGCCACCTTCATCTATACGCCTACCCGGATTCATTGAACATTTATTAGTGTGTAAAGATTATTAGTTATAATGTCTGTAATAATCCACTGGTGACCATTATAGGAATTTTCTTCCTGCTGTCAAATAGTTTCAATTGGCTTAATTATTGCAATTATTTCCAACTCTAAAATCTCACCCTTTAAATTTGATTATCTATTAAGGGCCGCGAAACGTTTATCTCTCTGTTCAAAGTTTATGTTAACTTACTATTATTAAATTTTAAGAACCTTTGTTTAGCTCGTAACAGACCTTTTTTATTGCCTGTATTTATTGTTTTGATTATCTAGGTACATACACTGAGAAAAAAATACTATTAACTCAACTAAATGCGTTTCAGTTGAGTTTCAGTTTGTTATCTGAAATATCTTGTTTTTTTAATTCAAGCATATGGTAATAAAGATAACAAATTCGTATAAGTTGAATTAACAATAGTGATAATGAAAACATATTTAATTCACTAAACCATGAATTGTTTTGTCGAACATAAGTTGTGATCAATTTCAAATAAAAGATACTGTTAAAAAAGATGAAATAGGCAATTCTCATTTACTTTAATTGAATATAATCTGAATTTCTTCGTATTAAGTATTTCATTTAATCAAACTGCTTATTTTTATAAGCAGACAAAATATTGTGTTGTCCTATTGTGTTGTACATTCAAAGTTACTTGTATTTAAGCAAATTATAATTTTGTTAAAACAACTAAATTGTCTTTCGGTACAATCTAATTATTATATCTATTGAAACATGATATCTTCTCACATTAATCAATATTTTATTAACAGCCCGTGACCGCTGCATATAGTTGAATCGAATACTATTTTGTTACTTTACCAACTTTTTTTTCTCAGTGTAGCTTCGTCACAGAAAGAAAATAGTTGTCGCACGCATACACGTAATCTCTCCCGTGCGATTTGAGAGAGCACTAGAATAATTGAGAATTTCATCAAGATTGCGTTCGGGATGCGCGTCATTAAACGCGCATCACTCTGTTGTGTCATTCTGTTTTTATTACTCGTGTAAAAAACGGGAGATATAGAAATCACGCAAATCTGATCTTGGCACGTTTACCGAACGCAGCCCGAACGATGAAGTGAAAGATGTTAGTTTATTAATTCGATTTCACGATTAGGAAATATGTCTCGTGGTGTTCTTCGGCGTCGAGTATTTGGTACGACTGTGGAGCGCGGGCTGCAGATCCAAGTACTTGCGCTTTTGGGGACGGCTGCGATTCATACGGAAACCGATTTGCATCATAGGTGAGTTGTGTCTTCTCGACGACCGATATAAGCCGCGCGCGGTTGAAACCCTAATCCGATATATTTGCCATTGTCCGATCGCCGGTACAAAATTGAATTGTGAGAATGTCTCTTTGTTACCCATGTATCAGCTTTGTGCTATATCCGCATTTGTGATCGTTGCCGACAACGTTTGTGGAATTAAATTCGGTGGGGTAATATCGACTCCATTTTCCGCCAAAATCGAGATTTGATGTGTGCGCTTGTGTATCGCGACCATCGTTCTAACCGGACATTAGTTTCACGAACACAAAACACACACGCGAACAGGATCCGAGAGAGCGCGCGCGCGCGCGCGCGCAAAATTTCGCTTTTCACTCTACTATAATATTGATTACTCTCTGTCTCACAGTTTTGCAATTACGTTGATACTAAGCGACTGAAAGTTCGCATTAATCACGCGACATTTTGTTTTCGTGTATTTGTCTTTAGATTTAATCGTCGTGGTGGCGTCCATAGTCGTTCTGTCGGTTGGAAGCAAGGGTCAGGTATTCGCCACTTCCGCCATCAGAGGCATTCGATTTTTGCAGATCCTGCGAATGCTTCATGTCGATCGTCAGGGCGGAACGTGGCGACTTCTAGGCTCGGTGGCTTACATACATCGTCAGGTACGTGGGAAATGTCCTGTTTTGAGCTGCGTATATGTAATTTTACGTATAATATATTTGTGCAACAATATGCGTATTTGTTTGTCTCGCGTGTGTGACAGGAGCTGATTACAACCCTGTACATTGGATTCTTAGGCCTGATATTCAGCAGCTACTTTGTATACCTCGCCGAAAAAGACATTAAAGGACCCAATGACAAAGTAGACTTCGCCAATTACGCTGATGCACTATGGTGGGGAGTGGTGAGTTTCTCTCTCATTACCGATTCTTCTCTCTCTCTCTGACAGAAGCCTCTTAGTAATTTGGCAGCGATTTTAGGTCGTTGCTAACAAAGAAAAAACGTTTTTTTCCCATTTTTTTTTTTTATGACTGATGTCGCTATTATCCTTTGTCGAACGTTACACCGAGTGATCACAACGTGTGTTTTAAAAAAGAACATGTAACATTATGTAGAAAAAAAAAAAAAAAAAAATGCGAGGCTGGTTTTATTCGCAAAAATACAGATGAGGAATTAGGTCAATTAGAAATCAATTTCCCATGCTGATTGTGCAGTTAATTGATATTACGTAAAAAAAAAAAAAAAAAAAACACATACAAGGAACTCAAGAAGCGCTAATAATAGCGGAAACGATCGATTTGCAATTTACTCGTACGTTTCGACGAGACTGCGGCGATACGGCGATTCCGTGCTCACGTCTCAAGCGATAAGTAGTTCGAGAGTCGCTTACAATGATTACGCGCAACTCGATACGCTAATTGCTAATAGGATACGATAAGTAATCAAATTAACTAATTGCAGATCTGATTCCCATGATTTGACACCAACGCTGAATTGTTTTTGACAATTGCTCGTTTTTGTTTTGCTCTGTTTTTGTAGATCACAGTCACGACAATTGGTTACGGCGATGCAGTTCCGAAAACTGCTATAGGAAAGTTAATAGCCTCGTGCTTCAGCGTGTTTGCCATATCTTTCTTCGCACTTCCAGCTGTGAGTACACGTAATCGCAATATTATTCCGACACGTAGAAATTTTTTTAATGAAACTATAACTAACAAAAAAATTTAAATTCACGAGTTTTTTCAACTTTCGTGCAACAACAATCGCAATTGTCGCGTCGTTTCTTTCCCAGGGTATTCTAGGCTCCGGGTTCGCGCTCAAGGTGCAGCAGAAACAACGTCAGAAGCATTTCAATCGTCAGATACCGGCCGCCGCGATGTTGATACAGTGTCTGTGGAGGTGTCACGCCGCCGACAAACATTCCAACTACGTAGCCACGTGGGACATCCACATCAAGGACCCGGCGCCGGCGGGGCAACCCACTACACCCCTGGGCAAGGTAAGGTTTCCTGTTTACGAGTTTAACTGAGCGGAGCAGTAGCTATTCCACGTTTAGCTGATTGACTGTTGATGTTCTTAGATGCTTATATAATGTTCTTTGGACTAACCTTTAAGTCTGACCGTGTGCCGCGATTAAGTGATTATGCCGCACGAAACGAGGCCTAATCTGTGAGCGCCAATCTCTCGCTATCGACTCGATTCTCCTCGTTAAGACACGTGCCGCAAAAAAAGAAAAAAAAAAAACGTACATATTTAATCGCCTTCGCGATCTTGATGGCGATTCGGTGAACGCACGCGGTTCGCTAATGGATCTAAAATTACCCATGATTTCTCGTTCGACTCGGAATGTATTGTATCCTCTAGCTAATTGCGCTTCCAAGATCTCTCTAAATATTTATCGCGCGATTACATCTCCGCGCGCGCGCAACCATCGACTAATTTGCGATTATGCGAAGAAATTCGTTCCACTCGCCGTTGTGTTTGCTCCGTGTGTTACTTTCTTCGAGCGAGAAATCGAAGTTGCAAAAGCTACTGCGCCAAAACAGAATAGATAATAGAAACTGTTTTAATCTGATAACTAACAATCGAATCTGTGTAATTAAATTGTTATTTTTCAAAGCGGGGTTTTTCAAATCAGATTTTGATTTGTTCAAATAATCGAACGAATTCCAACAGTTACTTATTTTCTCGGCCAAAAGTACGAACAATCTTATATTTTTATGTGTCCGACGATAATTTGGCAGATTGAATGGATGCGAACGGAGAATGTGTTTTTCTGCTCGTAATTTCCGATGTTTGTTGTTATTGTATCGCCGAGATCCAAATAATTTTGTTCTCTCCTCTCCCCATACATGTTACTGCTCACATATGTGTGTTTACGCAGTTAAAAGATGCGCTTAGAAGCTTCTTTATATATATATATATGTATATGTATATACATATATATATTAACCGTTTTCTCCACGTACAAAATAATAACAGTTGTGTTATCGTTTTTCTCAGTTTGATTTGTTTTTTGTAACAGTTAAAAATATTGACGATTCACCCTTATATAATATATGTTTGATCCCTGGACGGACTGGTTTGTTGATTTCAATGTCGTTTATTCGTTGAAATGTTTTGAATATACGTGAAATGTGTGTATGCGGACAATCTTGATCAACTTCTAGATAACAAAATTTCTCGCGTTTTGTGTGTGGATCGCACATTTTTTTTTCAGCTTGTTTTCATTTCTGTATTTATATCTTGAATTTTAAACGGCGGCCATTAAACGTGCAGTCTCAGGATGTAACACACGGTTTATCGGTATTGAACTTTTGTGTGTATGTACCGTATGATATTCTCGCGAAAATGCAAATTCGATGAAGAAATCGGTCGACGAACTTAAACATTAAAATATAATTCAGTATATTAAAAGTTTCAAATATAAATTCTCTCATAACAAGTATAAAAATTGCACAAGTCGTACGGGCTCTTTTATTATTAAATTATCACCGAGAGAGAAATAACCTAAGCATCTGGTATAGATTTTTACATAAAATTCAATTCGAATTTAATAATTTGATTACACGTTACACACCCAGAGCGATCCGCTCTTATTATTTCCGTATTATTGCAGTGTTATTTCTCTCGTTGATAATTTTAACTCTTTTATTTAATTTTCGTATTTTGAAACAAGCATTCATCGCTCGAAAATTCCAATAACCCCGTATCCTCTGATATAAATTGGTTTTAAGTACATTATGATTAAACTAACAAATGCGATATGTTTCGACCAATGCTTTTCAATACTTCTATATATTTTTGCTTATAATTAATGTAGTTTTGAAACAGAAAATACGAGTACGTAACGTGTTTAAACTCAGTTCTTTAACATTAATCTGATAAATTTATTATTAAGAGATATTAAAACGTAGAATATAAAATTTGCAAAAAATTAAAAAAAAAAAAAAAAAAAAAAATTTGCAGATAATCACTTACTGAAGCGCTAACTTCTGTTGAACGTATAGGCTCACTTTNAAAAAAAAAAAAAATTGAAAATATAGGCTCACTTTCTCAATTTAACAATGATGATAAAATATACCTAATATATTTCAGTTGATTTGTGTAAAGAAGATGGTATGTAAATGATTAAAATTTATATTTATTTCCATTTTTTACTCTCTTTTGCATGTTTATTTTTTTCTAACTTTTTATCACATTTCTTTGTACACGTTTCTGTTACACCGTGAAACGTTCTGTCTATAATGTAAGCCGAGATACTCACCGTATTCACCGTGTCTATGCTGAATGTAGAATATATTACGTATATTAAAAAAAAAAAAAAAAAAGTCGTTCGACGCTATCGTACAACGTTGTAGAAAAATCTTATTTGCTGCACATTTCACTTTCTTGCTTGTGATTGAGAAGAATTATTATTATTATTATTTTTTTTTTTTGACATGAATCAAAGCCGTAGATGTCAACAACAACGTATAAAGCAGATGTATAGCTAATTTATCTTTTGAATAACGAAGCGATTCACTCGCGATATCGAACGAACTATGTACTTCTCGAATGAGCAACTTTTGTACATAAGCTTTTTCTAAAGCCAGTCAACCGAAAGAAAAACTATATAATCATTTGTTTGCGTTTCTACTTTTGACTTACTTACGTATTTTTCTTGCTATATCATTACGTTGTCTCTCTGAAGAATGACGATCAAAATGTCACATGTAAAATTGTCTTTACTTAGTAACATTGCGTAGTACGCATGTGCCCGTTTGTAATAACGTTTGTGATAGTTGTGCACTTTGCGCGATGCACTCTCTCGTTGTCTCCGCGTCAAAGCCTCTGCAAAGCTTGAAAAAATATATCTTACGCTGTCGAGTTTGCAACGGGAATTTACACCGATCTCGTGAAGTGTTCCTGCGCCAAAAAAAAAAAAAAACATACACTATTAATATTGAAAAAAAAAAAAAAAAAAATATTCCGGCCGTTTCAAACGTCAACGAAAAGCAAAGCGGATTTCTGAATATATTTTATCGACGCGTTTCGCAAAGTTTTTCTCGGTATAATTTATGTTTACCGTACCTTGTATAAGAAGGTCTTGCTTTTATAAAAAGTTCTGCGGAAAAACGTGAGTGAAAAAAGAGACCGCCAAATAACATATGCTCGACGCATATCAGTAGTACATTTCGAAATTAATTACTCTGTGGCGGTTTCCGTTTTCGTGCGGTCGCACCGAATCCGTTTCGTCTATGACGGGGGGGGGGGGGGACGATGCATAGCCGTAAAACGGTCATCACGCGCGATCGGCGCAATTTCCTGGCGTTGCAAATCCGTCCGTGCAATCTCCGTGAGCGATTGTCGCTTTTGCACCAATGTTATCCGAACGACGAATAATGACGACGACAGTGATGATGATGATGATGATGATGATGATGATGTTGATGATGATGATGATAATGATGATCTGCTCGTCGTAATGAGAGATAAAGAGTGAGAAAGAAACAAACCGAACGAGCTGATCAGTAGGGATAGTGCATGCTGTGTTCGATGTATGTCGTAATGGGAGGGCAACGGGGGTTCAGTCTCTGATGATCCAGGTGTCAAAGAAGGCGAGCTTGCTGAAGAAGCGTAAGTCGCGAAGCCGAATGGACGTCCAGCAACAACCGCAGCAGCAGCAGCAACAACAACCCCAGCAGCTGGCTCTGCCGCCTCCTCCTTCCGGCGACGTGTCGGCTGACACAACTGAGACAACCGGTCAGACCGAAAATCAACGCATCGAGATCGAAGGTGACGTAGTCTTCTACATGGAGGAGCCTAAGCCGGGTACGCCGAATCGCACCAGACGCGACAACCGGTGAGCGAGATATTAATTTCGATCGCGAATCGAAGAGAGAAATGCCCGTGAAATATAAATAAATATAAATATTTTATGTTGAACAAAAAATTGACTTGCTACTGACACAATGTTAACCATTCAAATACTCGCTGCTAACAATATTTTTTATGTAAATATATATTTATAAAAATTGAGATTTATATATAAAGAGATTTCTCTCTCTGTACATTAAAATCTGAGTCGTTCTAAAATAGCCCGATTCCGGGGCGAGTCAATCCAACACCGGAAAACCGAACCGAATTTTCGTAACAGCGCGAGAAATTGCGCGTCACTATCTTTAACGGACGTATTTCTGTTCATTTCGTCGAGTGGTTGAGTTCCCTCGAAAAGTCCGCTTTCAAAGCGATAGTGTGACACGTTGAAGTTGATATCGTGAAATTGGCGAGCTTATTTCCGAGTGTTCGTCGCCGTCGAGTGGCATCGAGTGTAAAGTGTATCAAGGCGTCTCTCCGGTGGCTTCTTGAATGCAAGTTTGCGGATAATTGCACGTTGATCCTCAAAGACGAAGGTAAAAGGCGAGGAATAGGAGTGTTTGATGTGTGATGTGTGTAAACGTGACGCGTGATCTCTTTTACAATAACCACTTTATATCTTCTCTCGCAAAGTTTCTCAACAGATACTTTCCCATGGTAATTCGCAAACGTGTGTTGCAACATTTACATAGTTATTCACAAAGTCCGTTAAAAAATATTTCAACGGCATTTCTTTCTCGATTATCAAAGGATATACAACAAATCGCTTCGGAGAAAGACTCGGAAGTTACTCAGCTGCGTGTGAAAACGAAATATAGATAGATTTGTTGTCGCGCGATGTATTCTGCGCTTAAACACGTCAAAAGAATATCTCACTGTTATCCACAAGTGTGTTTTTTATACTGACATTTTTTTTGGACGAAAAATATCGCGCTTAAAAATATTCGCGTCACAACTTGCGAGGAGAATAGGTAATTTCCTCTGAGGGGTAAAATCGACTTCGAAAGTTGATGAGAAATTATCAAAAAAAAATTATCAAAATAAATGAACATCGTCTCTGATCGTATTGCCGCGCGAAAACTTGGAGACTACTTACGTAAGTTGAGAATATTGCGACTAGATTCTCGCGGCAAAGTTCGCGATTCATAAAATATTACTTCAACGTCGCCGAGCTAATTCTCGCGAAATATACGAAATACGCGGGGGCGGCGAGCGAACGATTTACGAAACTTGCCGCGAGACAGACAGACACACGTCACACAGCCCCGTTATCTGAAGGGTACTTTCTCCGAAGCTTGTACGCGATAGAGAAAGAGCTGGTTTCGCGAGTCTGGTAGTTGAGTAGCGTGTTTCCGGTTGGCAGAAATGTTATCCCCGCGCACACGGGTTCGGTGACGGAAGCAACCAGCGACGAAATTGACATCGACATCGAGGAAGCTCAACCGCCAAGAGTAACAACGTGAGTATCTTTTTTACATATTTTTTGATTTTGTAATTTATAATAATCGCTGACAAACACACGTCTTACGGATCGAAAGCAATCTTACAGTTCTGTGTTTAATGCATTTTTTTTTTCATTTCTCTGCACCGAAAAAATTATATTCTTGTAAGTAGAAGATTTTATACTTAAAAAATCTTCTTAAAGATCTTAGATGATATTCTTCTGAAATTAAGAATATATTCTTAATTTAAGAATATAGTCTTTTTTGATAGTGAGATATATATGTTTTTCTACAGAGGCTTTTTATATTCTAATCGGTATATATTCTTATCAATATTACTATTTAGAGGATTTTCCTCTTAAAATAAGAAACTCTAAAGATTTTAGATGATATTCTTCCGAAATTAAGAATATATTCTTTATTTAAGAATATATTCTTAATTTAAGAATATAATCTTTTTCGATAGTGAGATATATATATGTTTTTCTATAGAGGCATTTTATATTCTAATCAGTATATATTCTTATCAATATTTAGAGGATTTTCCTCTTAAAATAAGAAACTCTTCTTGGCGCCTATTTTAGTATAAAATATACTTAAAGTAAGTGGGATATATATCCTCAAAACAAGAATACAATTTTTTCGGTGTGAGTATCAAAATACACGTCGACCAAAGTATACGAAAATCCGTTCGATCTAAAAGCGATTTACCCGATTTCTATCGCGTCGCAATGGTCGATCGTTGAGTTATTAAACGCCCATTTCGCGTGTATACTGACAAGGGAAGTGACGCAAGTGTCCCTCTCCGATTTTTGATGAGCTTTGAATATGTTGTAAAGTAGCTAAAAATAAGAGACTCGTATTTTTTTTTATGTGCTTTCTTGCACGTTTGGGGAGTGATACACCCCTTAGAAAAAAAACCGGTTTTTTTGTTTTATGCGAGTATCATCAAAACGGTAAGAGATATAAAAAAATGTTTCAAAAAAAAGTTGCATAGTATTTTATAGGCTTTGCAACCGCGTAGTTGGATTTATTTTTCCACAATTGAGACTTAAGGCTCGTTGAAATTGTTAACAAGAAATATATAAGGCTTTACGAGCCATTCGCAGGATGTTTGTGCGGAAACTGTGCGTGTATATATATATATATATATACACATGTAACGAATTCTACTTGTAAAAATTTTTACAAGTGAGTGTTTTTTGAATTGAAATCTCAATTCTTAAATTCGTTGAAGAGTTGTATGCACAGGCGACAAGAGGTCTTGTCAGGATGGCCCTCGTACTGGAGGGCTACCCTGACGAAGCCACTTCCTTTGTACTGAAGACACTGGAGAGACTGGTCGATAGATATCTGAAAAACGGCCCTTTGCTAGTACATCCGCTGTCTCCGGCTAAGTATGCCTACAGGGAGGGCAGATCAACAGATACTGCTTTGCACCATCTCGTGGGCAATATCGAAGTGCAGTTGGAAGCAAAGGAATATGCTCTGGGCGTCTTTCTGGACATTGAGGGAGCTTTCGATAGCACCTCATATGATGTCATCAGAGAAGCAATGACCATCACATTCCCGCTGCTCTAGCAGACTGGACACAAAGCATGCTAACAGGAAGAACCTTGATTGCCAATCATGAGGACTCAAGTGTGCATGGTTTCCCCGCTAAAGAATGTCCGCAGGGAGGAGTTTTATCCCCCCTGCTCTGGTGTCTGGTCGCGGATGAACTTCTACGAGAATTACAGAAGAAAGGTTTCCTTGTCTTTGGCTACGCTGATGACGTGGCCATTATAGTGCAAGGTAGTTTTCTTTCAACACTTAACGAGACTATGCAGAAAGCCTTTAAGATCATGCAAGACTGGTGTCAATCAAAAGGACTCAGGGCTAATCCATCAAAGACCAAGGCCATGATTTTCACCAGGAAATATAAACCGGAAGCCATTGAGCCGCTTAGACTCGGGCGCGAAGAAATAGAATACGTCCGGTCTGTTAAATATTTGGGAGTTCACCTAGACCCCAAACTGAACTGAAAAACACATCTCGGAATAAAGAGAACTAAATTCTATGCCTCCTATTGGGCGTGTAGAAAAGCAATGGGCAAATCCTGGGGTATCAAATACTGCCCTATGGATATACAAGGCGGTACTAGTACCGAGCTTAACATATGCTGCTGTTGTTTGGTGGCCTAGAGTGGAAAAAATGGAGTCAAAGAACCTGCTAAAAAGCCTACAGGGTAATTACCTGAGGGCTGCGGCAGGGACTATGAGAACGACACCAACAGAAGCGTTGGAAATAGTGCTCTGCATCCCACCTCTAAATTTGACAATCATAAGCGCGGCCAGACTCACAGCATATAGACTGAGATGTCAGGGGGAGTGGAGAAATTTCGATAGGGGCCACACCAGGCTTTTTTCACAAACCTCCCTTTACCTTAAAACAGGATAGAATATCCAGAATATGGCAAGTGGACAAAACGTTTTTTATAAACTTGACCACCAGGGCAGACTGGAAAAACGGAAATCTTCAGATCCAGCCGGGCGTTCAGGCCTGGTTTACTGATGGATCTGGAGCAAACGGCCGCTTTGGAGCGGGCATATACTGTCCAGGATCAAATCACAGGGAGTCGTTCTCCCTGGGTAGATTGGCCACGGTCTTTCAAGCGGAAGTCCATAAACAAAGATTGTGTATCGGTCTTCTCACAGGGCATTGGGCCTTCAGGGCACATTTATTCAACTTAGGCCTAGTCGAGGTGTAGATTTTGCGGTGAGGAAAGGGAGGACAGCGTGCACATACTGTGTCGCTGCCCGTCTCTAGTACTCAAGAGGTTCAGATCTCTGGGCTCCATGTTCGTGGAGCCCGAAAATCTGAAAATACACAGTATCGGCCACTTGTGTAACCTGGCAGCAAATGCTGGGCTAAAACAGCCTGATTGATAAACTACTAGCGGGAGTCGCAGAGGATCTTATAGATCTAGGTGTGACAAAAGGGACTTACAAGCCCCCCGCTTTCAGCTTATCTCATCTTATCTTATCTCACCGTTTTGATGATACTCGCATAAAACAAAAAAACCGGTTTTTTTTCGAAGGGGTGTATCACTCCTCAAACGTGCAAGAAAGCACATAAAAAAAAATACGAGTCTCTTATTTTTTTTAGCTACTTTAAAACATATTCAAAGCTCATCAAAAATCGGAGAGGGACACTTGCGTCATTTCCCTTGTGAGTCAGATCGCACCGACCGAAATCAGAATATAGGAAGCCGAGGAACGTATATCTCCATGCAAATTACTTCCACTTTGTATGCGAAATCGATAGCGCCGGGAAATTTTCATGTACTTCGTGCATACGATAATATACGGATGAATGCCGCGCAGATCGTTAAAAGAGGAAGAGAGAGAGAGAGAGAGACCTTCTGCGAGAGAAGAAGTGAATGCACTAATATAATTCGACAAATTTAATTTGAAACAAACAAAATCGTTATCAATGGCTGTTGAAGCAAAACACAGATGCTGATGTGTAAGTGGTCGAATCAATTTATTGAACCTAATGTATAACGTTTTCGACCTTGTATTGAGGTCTTTCTCAATACAAATCTACAATTAAAAAACTTAATGTACTATCCAAATAATAATGAAAAATTAAAAAAATCGCAAAGGAAAGATATTAAGAGATAATAACGGCACTTAGAAATTACTGTTGTAAAAGTTATCGCACGGTCATCAAATTTAATTTGATTTCTCAAGAATCACGTAGAGTACTTCGTGCATCGACTCGCGGCACTCGAATTACCCGAGTCTCGGGTTTCAATCCTTTGAAAGGAGAAACGAGAGAGAAGTATTCGCAATTCAATCTCTAAAACGTTCAATATTGTTGAAAAATTACCTCACCGCTTAGGCAGCAAACCGTGTATCGTTACGTTTTCGAATGTGCACTTGTCAACTTTCGAAAAACAAACTAATATATATACGTCTTCTGTACGTGCTAACATCTATTTTCAGGAAAGTGCCAGAGCGCTTTATATATATATATTTGGTTCCACATCTCCTTGGACTTTTAATTCGCCGGTTTAATTTAGCATTCACCTAGATATTATATTCGATTCGACGACGCAACCTTATCGGATGTGTTCGAACGATGCGATTTCGGCGTCACACAAGGCAAAACTGTTTCATACGAATCGCAAATCTAAAATTGGGATTCGGTTTAATAATTAACTTGATACCCGGGTCGGGTGACAAATAAACGCGGAAATTATTGGCGTTTCTCTCGCCGCGTCGTCACTTTGTTGTTCCTAAAGAGGACGGCGACTCGACGCGGCGCGACGGCTTCTCTCGCGCTATTGACATTTCGAGGCAAGTCGATTCTGCGGGCGCGAATGGAACACACGGGTATTCCGCACAAAAGGTCTTTTTCGAGCTTCGAGCCCTCATACAGACCTCGTAAGTGCTTTTTCCATCGGGCCATTACTTTGCACCGCGCGGCCGCCGCCGCCGCCGCCGGTACGAATGACCTAGATTTCGCGCGACGTCGAGCGCGCGCCGCGCGTTCGCGCACTCGAACTTGTACATAAAGACACTCGTCAGATTTTCCTCTCCTCTATCTTCTCTCCCTCTTCTCGCTCCCTCGCGCGATTCATCTGCTTTCTCGCCTCAAGTTTTCTTTCACTTAACCAACTGAAGAGGATATCTCTCGTTCGTGGGTATATATCTCGGCACATTCGAGTTCTGTATATCCATCCCTCCGCGTGTGTCTATTTCCTCTCGCTCAATTTCAATTTACATCAATATCTGTGCGCCGCGCAGCAGGTCACAAATTTTCTTTGTTTCCTAACTGATGCTTCCGCTAATTCCCTTCTTCCACTGTTGTTGTTCTTTATTACGAACTTCTCAAGTTTCTTAGCGCGTGTCGAGTGTAATCCCGCCGTTTGTCTATTATTAGCGCACGGTTCGAATTTTCGATATCAAAAATTTTGTATCACGTTTCACGGACATTTTTCGCGGACGTTTTGTCATTTTGTCACGAAACACTTCCCCGTCAACATCGGTATTTGCATCCACGACAAAAGTATTTGTCGATAGTCCTAAGTATTCTCTCGATGAGAGAAGTAAGTATGACGAAGAACATCAGAGCACACTTTTCTCGAGCATATTTCCCCCGTTCTTCAGACAAGTGTCGATGCCGACGACGGTGAATAGCTAGCGTGAAGTTAAGAGGAAAGGAAAACCAATATTTTGACCAATATACATATATATATATATATATATGTGCAGCCGGTGTTTGTAGTTCGAAATGGATATACGAACGTATGACATTGCGTCCGCGACACGCGAATTCAATTTTTATCTCATACAATTTCGAGCGAATTACAAAAAAAAAAAAGAGATAGCTTTATTGACGTTACTTTTGTGTCGTTGTTTTATCTGAAATAACTTTGTTTAGTTTTGTTTCCTCTATTTTTTTTTTGTTTTACTTTCGGGACGTGATGCTTTACGTAATTTGCGTTATCAAGCAGTCTAGTGTTACACTTCGTTACTTAGTTATTCCTTGTCCGTAACGATGAAAAGGAAACGAGTTGTATCGAGTTGCATCTTTACCGTGTGCCGCGATCGACGAAGAAAATTAAGTTAGCGAAGATTGAAACTCTCTCTCTCTCTCTCTCTCTCTCTCTCTTTCTGTTTGAAGAGAAATCAATTTCTCTTCCCAAACTGAATTAAGCGTACCTATACTCGAAGCAAATATAATGAAGTGGTCGATTGAGATATATATATATAACGCGATATCTCTATTGTTAAGTGTAAAATTAAACTTAATTTTTTTAATACGTTAAGATTCAATTTTTAATTTTACTTTTTGTTTTTATTTGTGTATAATACGCTGAGATCTCAATTTTTTTTTTATATTCTCCTTTTTCTTCCTCTAATAATTTTCCACCACTTTTCTTTCCCCCCTTCGTCAAATTGCACGAAACCAGGAAATTATGTCTTTTTCCGTATTACCTGTCGATTTAAATGTTATGGTTACTCTTGTCACTTCTCAGGTTGACAGAAGCACATCGAAATGCTATTCGAGCTATCAGGAAGATCAAGTATTTTGTGGCTCGCAGGAAGTTCCAACAGGCTAGGAAACCGTACGACGTTCGCGACGTCATCGAGCAATACAGCCAGGGTCATCTGAACATGATGGTGCGAATTAAGGTGAGCCGATATCTTTTCGTCGCGATCGCTTGTCTTTCACTCTGAAGATGTTTCATCAAAAACAAAAAAACAAAAAGAAAAACAATTGATTAATTTATCCCGATTTTCAAAAATCATATCTCAGTTGTATAGCGTGACTACCGTGTACGGAGTTGTTAAGTCGGTTGCGTGATTTGATTCATTCGCAGGAGTTGCAGAGACGATTGGATCAGACTCTGGGTAAACCGGGAAGCTATCTGGCAGGACTCGATCGGGCGGGCAATATGAAACCCATGACGATTGGTGCGCGATTGTATCGGGTGGAGCAGCAGGTGCGTTTGTGTTTTCCTATCTACTATTGTCGCAAACGTTTACGACATCATTCCGTTATCTTAACGCGTCCACGCGATTTGCAAACTTGTGTCGAGTTTCCAGGTTTGTGTTTGCACGATGTACGAATAAATAAAAATTTACTTCTTCGCATATAAATATTTTGAGAGGCATATAAGGTTGCGCGTTTACGGGAATTTATTAGGAAGTCTGTGGATTGCGACAGTCTCAATTTTCATTTTATCATAATTTTTTTGTCAGATGACTGTTTCATCTTCGGCGATTGTTCACTGATGAGAAACGTGCTACATCAGTTTTTTTATTTCTCACTTGCTCACGAAGTGTTTTTTTTTTTTTTTTTTTTTTTTTTCACTTAAAAGAGAGAGAAAACACGCGAGTATATGAAATATAAAAATGCAAGATTATAAAATCGACGTTTAACAATTCACGTTTGTGCGACGAGGATTAATAATTGAATTAATTATGCCAAGTTTCGCGCAGCTTTGGCAAAAGCCGATTATGGAAATTATGCGATATTATTTAGCACAATATGCTATTAAAACGATTTCACAAGTGACCGAGCACGAGTTTCAGTGGAAATCGAAAGAAAATACACGATATAGGTTTATAAGATTTTTGTTTTTCAGCGAGAATTAAACAATCGTAGATTCGAATATAAATTATAAGACGTCGGGATAAACTGTTCGCTTTCAGTTGTCGGTGATGGACAAGAAAATAGACCAGTTGATGTACGTGATGAACGCGGTGAAACAGAAACAGCAAGTTCCTCTACGCAACATTGAAAACGACATCTAACATAACGCCCCCGAAGAACAAGCGAAAAATCACCCGCGGCTCCGCTTCTTCTGCCTTGTGTAACTGAATATAACCAAAGTAAAAAAAAAAAAAAAACAAAAAAAAAAAAGAGGAGAACACGACCACTCTGTGAAAGTTGTTAAACGGTTTTTTGGATTACCGTTTTGTGTGTTTTTTGTTTCAAATCTTCAATGGGTAAGTTCCACTTGCCGTTCGCGATATTCGTGAGCGTTATCAATTTTTGTTTAACTTTTCATGTGAAAACAAAGATGAAATGATTCAATGAGCGTTGTGAACAACAAGAACTTATCCCAATGTAGATCTCACAACGAAGAGAATGAAATTGGAACAGAATTTGCTTGCAATCGTTCTCGATTTCGCGTGAACTTTCGAATTTATTTGTAATGTCGCGCGATTTGTTTCTTCGGCCTAGCACAAACGCATAGATGCTCAGATGATACCTCCGTTTTAAGTTCGCATATATATATATATATATATAAATATTCATCCTATACATCGTCTTACAATATTTTAATGTTCCTCAATCACTTATACTCTCTTTCTCTCTCTCTCTCTCTCTCTCTTTCTCTTCATCTTTCTTTCGCATATAGTACTGTTTATATTTTGTACATAGATTATTTATATACACACAGAATATATATTAAGACTCGTAGTATTAGCTCGTATCAAATTCTCCTTAGGATCATAAGCTGCGACGCAGCGTAGATCAAAACTTTTCTCAAGTAAAACTTAGATCTTTAATAATTTGTCGTTGTTAAATTAGAATTAAAGGAGATGTTGCGGATCGATCTGAGGAGACAGAAGACATCATATGATTGCAGTTATAATTTCTCAAACTGCTAAGATATTATCCTAAATAAGACGAGCAATGTAAACGTTTTTAACTAAGATAACAGACGGACTCGTGGTGTTTTGCAATTCGCGGTTTGGTATTGATTGATTTTAACGACAATAGTCCTTCGCGTATAGGCAAAAGATTGTTCTTTTATTCAGGTGATTCTGTCGCACTTTATATATATCAATCACCTTATACATATTGCTATATACCTACGTACATATACAGTGATAATAGGATTAGCGACTTTCTTAAAACCAGACAGCTTCTAAGAGTATTTTTTAATTAGAAGAGACATATGTATACATACAATACATGTATAGGTGTAGGGTCCAATATATACATATATATATATATATATTTTAAAGACTTTCTCGTGAACCAAAAACACGCTTTTACTACTGCAATAAACGCGGTGCTTGATTCGAGCCGATCGATTTTTATTTCATCCGTGGAATTTTATGGATGATTGGACACATAAAATGTCACACACGCACACACAACTCTTTGTCAACTTGATCGTGTGTGTATTTCTCTTTTTCTTTCATATATATTATATATTATATATATATATATATATATATCTAAAATGTTTCTCTATACATAATTTTTATATATAAAATACAATCTATTGTAATATATTTTTTGTATGTTTTCGCGCTTTTTTAAATACGAAAGAATCGTGTGAAATATATTATTATTTGAACACCGAGTACTAAGAGATCGTTTTCGAATCAAGGACAGAAACTAACTTCTATTATTAGTTATAATAAAGTGGTAGTCAAGTCAATATTTTTTGAAAAGAAAAAACAGTTTAATAATCGTATCAAAACAATAAAACGTTGTTTACCAAATCTCTTCTTTCGACCAAAAAATACGCCGCCGATTTATATTTTTTGACAAACACTGAATTTTGTCTCAAAGGTTCCTTCTTCAATTTTGATAATATATCATCAAACACTCAGCATATACTTTCGACACTTTTATACACGGTGCTGTACATAAATTCAAAATCGTTTTGTATAACCGAATTCTCTCCGCAGCGTTTGACTATCAATTTATTATAAGTGTGTATTCCATCGAAATATATCAAGAAAGTGCACACGGAAACTTAAACAAAGTACACGCTGTGAAAAACACGCTTAGCCGTACTTAGCTGTACGTGCACACAAGCACATTCTACGTGCCTCTACTTGGACACAAGTGATTAATAAAATTTACGGTAACGTATAAATTTTAAATAATATTACAAATTACGAGACGATAGATAACAAAGAATATAGATTTTAATAGTGACGCGGCAAAGAATTTTTCTTACCATTTTGTCTATAAATTATACGTATACCATTATTAAGTAAAGTTTTTAAATACAATATATATTTTATAGTTCCTAAATTTTACAACAATCTTTTATTTTTAACATTTTGAAATAATTTTGGTTTTTTTTTCACTTTCTCGCGCATTTTATCAAATTTAGATTTTTGTTCTGCTTTAAGTACTCAATGAAAAAAGTTCTTTGCAGAGCGCGCATACTTAGAATCTCGAATATGAAAAGGAATCGAAACTCTGGTACAATACACATACATGAGCAAATAGACAAAAAAAACTTTACGAGTACTTATATAGATGCAAGTAGTGACAATCAACAAACATTCCCGTATTTAAAACGTGATTTTGCGCGAAAATCAAATTTTGCTTTCGCGATCCATCGAGTGGTATTTTCGGTAGAAACAATTCAGTCAACGAAATAACGTATAAAATAAGTTTAATTATAATTCCGTTTGACATAACGATCAGTGATAATTAATGGCCTCGCGTTTTAAGCACATCGTTACACAGTGAACAAATCTTTAATAATGGCACACACTTGAAAGAAAAGAGAAAATTAAAATCTGAAAAAAAAAATGAAAACTAACACTTTTCTCTTTATACAATTTTATTCTATATTTTTATTATTTTTCACAAATTTCACAGGAATTTGGTAAAAAACAAGTCCGATTGAGAATTGTTCACAACAGCAATCAAAGAGATATATATAAATTTTGTTTTGCTACGTTGAGTTTTATCGAAAAAGGTCCTTCGAAAGTCAAAAAAAAAAAAAAAAAATAATAAAAAATAATAGTTGCAAATAGAACCAAATGTAACGCGTAGATACAAATAAAGTACGTAGTCTGTATCGCTAAGATAAATGAGCATGGAGACATGTATACTATATTATACTCACTTAAATTGTGTGTACACGCACTTAGTCGCGTCATTAGAACTTCACGCACGTAAACTCACGACAGAGATCGTGTTTGAAAAGACAACTTCGGATTGTTTTACATATAGATCGGTTTTGCAAGCGTTACTTTTTTTATTACGCGTAAACATATATCAGTATTGAAAACTAAAGGATTAACGGAAGTGAGAGAAGAGTCGAACGATGAAATCAGACGAGAAATTTGTTAAGTAATTAATTAAAATGTGATACAAAATGTAATATACATCTATATCTTTTAGTTTTTAGACAACAGAATTATAGAAGAACTACTATATTACGCGGAGGACCAAACGACACGATGGCCTCTCTTTACATAATCTCGTAAATACTCGAGAGATATCTTTGCTTTAGTTTTTAGACTGACACGTCGATAACATCCTCTTATCGCCGACGTCCATAGACTAATTAAATTTAGTCGATACACTGCGCATATATATACAATAGAATCGCTAATTCCCATAAATTACATCTAGCTCTTACAGTGAACTTAAGCTCGATAACTTTTGGGATTCTTTGTAAGCGCGTGTGTATTTTCATGGATTATATATGTGCCTATATATATATATATATATACATATACAAATACTAAAATACTATATTAGAACAAAACTAATTTAATAAGAGATATCTCGTTCTTTCCTTTTTTTTGTTTTTAATCCTTTTCTTTTTCTCATGAAATTCTACTCGTGAGTTTTTTATTTTGTTTTTTCCGTACACTGAGAAAAAAATACTATTAATTCAACTAAATGCGTTTCAGTTGAGTTTCAGTTTGTTATCTGAAATATCTTGTTTTTTTAATTTCAAGCATATGGTAATAAAGATAACAAATTCGTATAAGTTGAATTAACAATAGTGGTAATGAAAACATATTTAATTCACTAAACCATGAATTGTTTTGTCGAACATAAGTTGTGATCAATTTCAAATAAAAGATACTGTTAAAAAAGATGAAATAGGCAATTCTCATTTACTTTAATTGAATATAATCTGAATTTCTTCGTATTAAGTATTTTTCATTTAATCAAACTGCTTATTTTTATAAGCAGACAAAATATTGTGTTGTCCTATTGTGTTGTACATTCAAAGTTACCTGTATTTAAGCAAATTATAATTTTGTTGAAACAACTAAATTGTCTTTCGGTATAAACCTAATTATTATATCTATTGAAACATGATATCTTCTTACATTAATCAATATTTCATTGACAGCCCGTGACCGCTGCATATAGTTGAATCGAATACTATTTTGTTACTTCACCAACTTTTTTTTCTCAGTGTACATTGTGCTAATCGGTGCAGTGTGTAATTTCTCTTCCGCGGGTAAAATATCTATCGTAAAATTAAATCGTTAATTAGCAACTGGTAGAAATAAAGGCGGTCTGCTAGTAAACATAGCGCGCAAAGCTGGGATTGCCAATGTAATAAGTTCTTTATCCGTTTATTATTTCCCTCTAAAACAAAAAAACTAGTGTGTATATTTGAAAATCATTTTGTCTACAACTTTATAATTATATAATCTCAAAATTCCAACCGATAAGTAGCAAATGCAGTTTATAGATATTCTACACGCGTGAATTACGTGCAAAATATTTTGTACACATGTAGTAGACGCGCGCGCACGCTCAGTTCATATGCCAGTGTTTTTTCTGTATATACGTTAAAGCGTGTGTGAAAAGAGGGACCGTACATATCCGAGATTTATTGTTTCTGCCTTGCAGTTATTTATTGTAAATTTTTCTATGCTCTAAAAAACACTAAAAACTGATTCGATTTGTAAGTATATACTCAAAGTAAGGCGGGAGTGAAAATATAGCGATAACTTAGTTTGAGATCCGTTCAAAAGGACCGATCATAAGACTTTAAGAATCACGGTTTACACAATTTCGCTACATATAATAGAACCTAGTAAACATTGAGAGTACCAACCCTAGACCGTGTGCTCTCGAGCCTAAAGCGATATATCGATCGATCTCGTTTGCAACATGCGCAGTTTGTTAGTTTAGGCATTGTGCTCGCAGCAATTCTTGTCGCAAAATAAAACATTTATTGTTTTTTTGTCTTTCTGTGATTCAAATGCATGACAACATACAGATAGTGTGCTAGCATAATATACGAGCATTTTTAAGATATTATTATTGCGAATCATATTATTGCAACGGTAGTTATTATTCCGTGAAGTGTCATTAATATATCTTCGCGCTCAAAATGGATCAAAATATCTGAAACACGGAGTACGATTACATTCGCAATACCAGTAGTGTAAATTTTGTTAAAAAAATATCAGAATATATATTTCCTACTTGATTCACATAGGAAAGGGCATCTATTAAAAAAAAAAAAAAAACCAAAAAAAAAACAAATCTAACTAGGCCTTTTTATATTTTCACGAATTGGCAAAGATAATGTAAGAAAGA